TGTTTTAAACCTGCTGCCTATTAATTTCATTTGCTGACCCCGAGTTCTTATATTGTGGGAATAAGTAAATAACTTTTCCTTATTCACTCTTTACATACCAGTCATCATTTTATAGACCTCTATCATATCCCCCCTTAGTCTCCTCTTTTCTAAGCTGAAAAGTCCAAGTCTTTTTAATCTCTCTTCATATGGGACATGTTCCAAACTTGTAATCATTTTTGTTGCTCATTTCTGAACCTTTTCCAATGCCAATATATCTCTTTTGAGATGAGGCAACCACATCTGTACACAGTATTCAAGATGTGGGCGTACTATGGTTTTATATAGAGGCAATAAGATATTTTCTGTCCTATTCTCTATCCCTTTTTTAATGACTCCTAACATTCTATTTGCTTTTTTGACTGCCACTGCACAGTGGATTTTTTAGAGAAGTATCTACAGTGACTCCAAGATCGCTCTCTTGAGTACTTGTAGCCAAATTAGTCCCCATCATGTTGTGAATGCCTGAATATTTGTTAAGGTTTAAAATAGTATAATCAAATGCAACAGCCATGATTTGCATTGTGGTGAATGGACATCTTATGTAACTGAGTGAACAGAAATAATATCAAATGACTTATGAAGCAAACCAATACAGTACATGAAATTCAAAGTTCATGAATTTAAAGTATAAAATTAAGTTGGATTCTGAAAGCATGATTGTGCAATGTTGAAATCCATGGTAAAACTATTAACTTTGTTGATGTAGTGTCAGACCCAGTACTATAGCTTTATATAGATAGAATGAATTTAATTCAGTGTGTTGGTTATTGTTAGCAGCTGCTAAATACCACATATAATGGCTGGTCTTCCAGCTGCCTTTTGCACAGTTTTACACAGAGCATCACTCTACTAGTCTATAGGCATAAATGAAGATCCACTGTTCCTCTCTTGCCCTCATGACATGCAGACAGCCCTCCTTTCCTTGCACAGCCCATAAACAGGGCCTTCTAACAGTCCTCAGCATTGGCCCGAAGTGCACATTTAGAATTTGTGCAACCATTTGTGAACCATATGCCAACAGAGAATTTTTCACTGTCTAAATTAGGGAATACTTTAGAACAAAGAGTTCCATAACCTGTTCATGAATAAATTGAGATCTGAAATTTTCTGTACCAACTATTCACTGTTATATTACTCAGTTCTATTGTGACCAACAGGGTTCTTTCCAGTGTGTTCTACTGTTGTTTGTTTTACAGTTGTGCTTTAGGCCTCAGTACAAGAGTAGGGTTCCACTGTGTTAGGCACTTTATAAACAATTCTGAAAAAGACATTATACTAAAATGTCTGTAATCTAGGTTACAGTATTTCACACAAATGAAGTAAATTGGAGAATGGAAAACAGAAAATATATAAATAGTAAAACATGCATAATACTCATTATTCATACTCCCTTAGAATTCAAAAGGTGCTAAAGCTTTAACATAAACATTAGAGTAGGATTATCCAGTGCCACAGTTACAATGCCATGACATTTCAGATGTAAAAGTCTGAAATTGTGAAATTGACCAATTTTAAGACCCTCCCTCCCCCCATGTCCATGAAATTGATCAAAGTGAACCGTGAATTTGGGAGGAACCTACTTTGTTTGTTTTCAACCTGCTGCTTATTATTTTAATTGGGTGACCTTTAGTTCTTGTGTTATGTGAGACGTAAATAACACTTTCCCCATATTATCTGAATTTTATAGCTCTCTATCATATTCTGCTCTTGTTTCTAAAAGGAACAGCCCGTTTTTATAAATCTCTCCTTATTGAAGCTGTTCCATGCCCCTAGATGTTCTCATTGCTCTTTTCTGTACTTTCCCCAATTCTAATATATCCTTTTTGAGAAGGAGTGACCAGAATTGCATGCCATATTCCAGATACTGCCTAGTCAGCCAATTTAGTGGGATCCCTTGGGAAGACCTTGGTCAGCTATGGACTCAGTTACCTTGGCTGACCTATTCAGATGGCAACTTCAGTAATAAGACTAGCTCCAATCAGTAAATGGACAAACCTAAACAGCACAGGTGTTTGTTTAAAAAATAAAAGACTTGTTCCATTAAAAGGGAGGGGTGTGCACAAGTACACACAAGATTTTTTTTTTTTTTTAAAAAGCATATAGCTCATAAAATGTCTGGTCATGTGTACTCAAAATCTGTGAATATGTGAATATACATGATGTGCAACACAAAGGACAAGACCACTAGATGATGATGACAGCATTTTTTTCTAGTGTTGCTAAGGGGATGAGATGCCCAGCATCATTCTAGAAACTATCTCAATTATTTGTTTGTGGTAACACAAGCCTCTGGAAATCATGGGATGTCATAGGTGATCTGGCAGATACATTTACACACTCACCCAGACAAATATTAGACCTGATCTGCAACCAACAAGTGTCTACTTCCCCTCTAACCAGGGGATGGTACCACCACCAGCTCAGGCCCTGTTCCCACTCCATCTCTTCCCCAAGCCTGCTCCCCCTCCTCCTCCCAAACACACCCAGTCCCTGCTCCTTTCCTCCCAGAGCCTCCTGCATGCTGAGAAACAGCTGTTTCGTGTATCAGAGGGGTAGCTGTTTCGTGGTAGGTCAGATGCACTGAGAGGGGGAGGAGTTAGTTAGTGGGGCTATAAGAGGGTGAGAGATCTTGTCAGCAGATACTGAGCACCTGCTAATTTTTGTCCAGGGCTGAGCACCCCAAAGAGGGGACAGTGCCATAATAACTAGTATCAGACACAGGACTGGTAGCACTTCCTATTATGAAGATTGCCCCACATTTCACCGTGTTTTGAGTTGCATATAACTTCAGCAAAATGTAACTATTTGGGCTGAAGTTATATGCCATTTGCCCTATGTCTGAAGCCGCCTGAAATATTCCAGCTATTTACAAGAACATAAACAAGCCAGACACTGTTTTACCACGTTTAACAAAAATGCAAAGGCTGTTCTTCTGACAAGCTCGAGCACCCTTGCGCTGTGGCTCAGGGGTTTGGGCCGTGGGCGCGGCCTTCCTCTCGGGGCTGCGCTGGACGCTGTCCCCAGTGCAATCCACCCGCCTTTCGCAAACTTACAATTCATGCATTTGACTTATCAACATGTGCACGTGCGCAGTAGAGCCCGTTTCAGCATAATGGACAGTGACACAGTTCTCATGTGACCTCAATGCAGCTTTCCCTGCACGGGGCGGGGGACGGGAGGGGGGCAGGTCGATGCAGGAATCCCACCAGGGTTGCCAGCCCTCCAGGCTGGGCTTGGTGGCTCCGGGGACTAACGATTCCGCTGTAACTGAAGACTGTGCCACAGGAAGAAAGCTGCAGGAATCTGTCCACCCACAACTGGCAACTCCCCATGCTGCCCAGCCCCCGCC